AATGTTGTGATTGGAAACAGGCATGGTCTTGTGTGTGAACACATCAGGTAGTTGGTTGAAATTGTCTTTGTCCAGACTAGATACTTCCAAACTTGAAATATGATGACTGGTTGCCAGCTTCACTTGGTTTACTGTCCTCAGAAGAATATTTGTCTTCTGTCCTTTAGTGTTCAGCCTTCGCATCAAGCTCTCCGTGCAAAAGGTAGATGAACTTCCAGGGTCCAAAAAGGCAAACGTTTGCAACACTTTGTTCCCCTTGTGGCTCTTTACTTGTACTGGTATGATGGAGAAAATGGGATGATCATCTCCGGCCCCAATATGACCACATATTTGAGGTGATTTAGAATGATGCGCTCGCAGCATGCCCAAAACCGGAAGCCTGCCGGCGGGGGCAATCGGGCTTAAGAGGTTAATAAAGCCGTGGAGGGCGGGAGTTTATAAACCTGGTTAAAGAGTAACTGCCCTTACGGGACACTCTAATAAGTAAAGCGAACGTGCCCGCAAGGAGACGACACTTCACCTGGCCTCCTATTGGTTGAGGGATTTTGAAATGGTTGTTGCACAAGAAATCTGAGAGCAGATATTTGACAGAAGCAGCCTGAGTGTGAGGAGAAGGTTTTAAACTGGAAAACAGGAAATCTGTGCAAGCAGCAATATATCTGAGTGCAAGCGTACAGTTTGAGCAGAAGCAGAGAAAATCTAAGCGCAAGCAGGCGCTATTTGAGTGCGAGGACAGGGTTTGAGAGAAAGAAATACAAAATCTGAACGTGAAATCAATAAATGATGCTCTTAAATTAAAAGACCACGCTCTTGAATAAAGATAGGGAATAACCTCCATACAGTATGCTATTACTATATAAAACGAGGGTGGAGATAATGAGTTCTATGAGAGAGATCAAACTTTCAGTAAGGACGGAGAACATTTTGTGTCTGACTTTCTGCTGTTTCACCTTGAGCTGTCTGCGAACCCGCTCGATGAAGAACTTCCAGCAGTTTTCCCTTGAATCCATCAATCCCAAGCTGCGGACCTCTGGCCTCACGCTGCCAATGATGCCTTCCACCTCGTCGTCTGGGAACAGGTCAAGAATCTCTCCTTGAATGAATAAAATAACCCACATTACCACCGGGAAGAACACCAAGCTTGTGGGAGCTAAAGTTGTGCGAAAGCTCTCCAGAGCGTTCTTATCTTCTGATCTGACACTGAGACTCTTTTATCTGCTGTTGGCAGCAGGGTTCATACAGAGGGTGTATGCTGGTGCAGAGATTTGCTGTAAGTGACGGGGTGGAGGGGGGACATGATACACAATTCAACTAATAAATAATATAAGTTATATTTGGACTACTATTGGCTGTGCATGCTATCATCACAATATTGCAGATCATACTTTACGATTACATTTTAACCTGTTAAGCCCTGAGCCTGTTTTTCAGGTCTCAGGCTCGAAAATGACATTCCCAGAACAAATGACCATATCTTCCCTTCTAAAAGGGTTAAATTAATAATCTTTTTTCTCAAAGTAATGATAAAAGGGTTAGTAGACTAAAAGCTTTAGGAATCCAAAGTACAACATATAATAAGTACCCTGTATCAAGATTGATGCAAAACAAGTGACATTTGACCTTTTTAGAGAGGTTTAGCCAAAACCACCCCACCTCTGAGGTGATTTGGGTGGAAATTGTTTTTTTTTCATATCTCTGGAACCCATTGGTCGATTTTGATGGTTGACACCTCTTTCTGACCGTTAGAGCCAATAGAATCGAAGGGGGAGTCCCCCACACACACTCATTGTGAAACAAAAAGGTGGGGGCTTTGCGCATGTAATTTTGCATTTTGAAGCTACAGTCTAGCTCTGACATCTAGAAATGTAAAATCATGGATTATCCGTCTGTTTGCTCATGGATTATCAGAAATCATTTCAAAGGGACACAGACACATTGGATTAACCTATGGATTAACTTCAGCAGCGTTTTTATCGTTTTAATGCCATTGAAGACCACTTTGGAGAGACTACAGAGCCAAGGTAAAAATGTTAGCATTTTTAGCTACCTAGCGTCACCTGTTTTGATGTCCGTTTTTGCTTATAACGTCGCCATTTCGTATAATTCAGTGATAATGAGGGTACCCATCGATTCTGTGTCACCTCACGATGTGAAACGATGTCATGGATGTAGAGAAAAGATAAACAATAAGGTTTTGTGAGTGATTTTCGGTGCAGTAATCTGTTAGCATTTTTCGCTCGTTGCTAATTCAGAGGCTCAGTGTTAGCATTGTGGGTTTTCTTTAAAAAAAAAAAAAAAATGATCAGTTAGATGAGTTTCTTCCCGTTACATGGATATAAAACATTCATAGTTTATTAAATGAACATGTCCTCAGTCAGTACTCCAGCAGCAGCATTTGTACCCCATGGAAAGTCTTTAGAGACTGGCCTGGATAGCTGGTCTATCCTTCAGCACACTGACACACCTTGTCACTCTTGTGGGCCTCTTATGAAGCTGCTGTATTTTAAATTGGATTATTTCTCTGCTCCTAGTTCATTCCTCTCAGATTCTTCCATCAGTCCCAGTCATTGCATGTCAGTCAATAGAGCTTCGAAAAATGTGTCCAATTCAACAAAATGTTTTTTTGTGAGTGAAGGCCAGAGCTAAATTATAGATGGTTTCAGTGGCGGCTGGTGGAAAATATTTCTGGTGGGGCTGTGGAAATGGTGATCAAACAATACTAGGGGGGTCCGGGGGGATGCTCCCCCGGAATTTTTTTTGAGAAAAGACCCCTTAAATTATGACTTCTGGTGATGTTAGAGGGGGGGGGGGGGGGGAGGGAGGACAATTTGAGGCTTAAAAATATGAGAAGACTGATCAATACCTCCATAACTTCAGTGTGGTTAGCTATGAATCTTCCAAAACTTCCAAACACCTTGTCCTGGACATAGTTTCTACAGCATAAACTGTGCAACAGTACAGTAGGCCCACACAAACTGCAGAACACCGGGGCTTTGGGAACACTGATTTAATTCCCATTTAACCTGTTAAGGGGCTTTTTTCCCCCGTTTTTTTTCTCACGAAACTGTGTCTCAGGGCTTCTTAAAATGTAATAAACTATTCATGTGTCCTACTCAGAGGAAACGCATCTAACTGATTATATGAACCATGTTTACCGAAACAAAACACAAGTCTCACAAGAAGCATCTAAATGAGCCCTGAGCGAAAAAATGCTAACTCACTCTAGGTATAAATCAATCGATATACTTATCGGATATGCACAAATAAGCTTACAAACTGAGATTCCACATATTCTAGAAATATAAGTATCATCACTGAGCGATCAGAACTCGCGACAGGGGAAGCAAATTCAGACATCACACGACGTAGCTTTAGGTAGCAAAACACGGAGATATGCTCACCTTTTGCAGAATAACAATTCTGATCAAAAACGAGAAAAATGCAGCTGAAGGTTAATCCATAGGTTAATCCAATGTGTCTGTCACTTTGAAAAATGATTGATGATCCATAATTCCATTTTTATGTCAAAAACTGAGTTTTCATTAGCTGCTAATGGTAGCTTCCAGAGTGTATGACAGCTTCCTGTTTTGTCTCCTTGGATACGAGTACAAACAACTCACAGACTGCACCGGGCGCTCACGTAGGAGCCCTGTGACCATCAGATTTGACAACGCTGATTGGCTGAAATTATGTTTCGGCGGCATAGTTTAAAGATAGCAACAGTTGGCTTCTGCTGCACTTGCTGCCCTCTCGTCTGGGCGCTGTGCATAGCGCCCAGACGAGAGGGAGTAATGATACACGGGCAAAGCCAGGCAGGAAACATGTGACTTATCAGTAACTTTAGACATCGTAACACAATTTTAAACGAGATTTTATTGTAGATTATACATTTTACTGATACCAATTATATAATATTTACCTTGTTTATTAAAAATAAAAATAAAAAATATATTTTTTAAATATATATATATTTTTTTTTTTTTTTTTTTTTAATGTGGGAAGAGGGGGGGCGGCGCCCCTAGCGCCCCTATGGGCCGGCCGCCACTGGATGGTTTGATTGTGTAATTACAAGGTGAGAGAAAAGAAATCCACATCCTCCTATGAAACCTATTTTATTTCCTTTTCCATGTTATACTTATATACTTACTTGTATTACAACATTTGCATGTTGAACATGTAGTTCAACATGCAAATGTATTTTATTGTATTTCCTCAAGGAAATACAATAAAATAAATGGATTCATAATTTTTTTTAATTGATACAAATGTATACATTAATAATGTTGTGTGCAAACATTTCAAATTTAAATACAAAAGGAAAAAAAGTTTACTTTTGAAATTATTTCTCACAAAAACCTTTCTAAATTATAGTAAATTATTAAAAAAGGTTTAGTCTATATATGTTTTTCTGCCTAAAATAGTTGAAATTGAAAGTAAACTATATCAAACACCACATCCATGGCAATTAACCCATTTTTGCCCACTATTTAAATTGACTTTGGTTGAAGTTAATAACAATATTGGGTAACACTTTATATTAAGGTACACACATTAACCATCAACTAGTTACACTTATTAATGCCTTATTCTGCATGACCATATTCTACAAGTAATAGGCCATTAGTTGAGAGTTTTTCCTCAATACATACTGCACATTTATATATTTGTAAAATTTGTACTGAAGGTTAGACAGGAAACCGGGTACAGGAAGTAGGAGAAAGTGAACTGAATAGCATGGCAGTAGACATCCATGAGTAGACTGCTACTAATTTTCCCTTTGCAACCTGAAGAGTAAAAGGTCAAGTCCGTCAGAAAGCAATGACTGTAAGTGTAAGCCTTACACTTACACTGTAAGGATTAGTAACATGTATTGTGTTTATGTGATGACATTTGGACCTTTAATGCTGCTGGATCATTACATTTTTGTAGAGTGAAGTAAAACCTAACCTCTGCATTTCCCCCCCCCGTTCAGTCCCAGGGGTTTTAGACCGTCCACTCACATGTGAGCCATGGCGTCCTCAAACAGCACCAGGTTCAGTTTGGCATTGACCTGGTTGTAACCGTCCAGCAGCTGCAGCAGGGTGAGATGCAGGCTGCTCCACGACCCTGCAGACATGTACTTTTTTTGTATCCTAATTATGTCATCCCGTCACTTGTAATCTGTTTCTCTTTTACACCTCCTCTCAGTGCAGCTTTCTCTAAAGGCTTCCTGTTGGCATGTGAAACATGCTGTATACTGTTTACACAGGGAGCCCACTCTGAATAATATATTCTGGAGTGGTTAGTATCATTATCTCTGCCCTCTCTGTGTGTGTGTGTGTGTATGTGTGTGTGTGTGTGTGTGTGTGTGTGTGTGTGTGTGTATGTGTGTATGTGTGTATGTGTGTGTGTGTGTGTGTGTGTGTGTGTGTGTGTGTGTGTGTGTGTCAGGTTCGTCACTGTGGCATGACTTGTGTGCATGTGATAGAGCTGAGAGGGCATTGAGGGGAGCAGTGAACAGAAAACCATTAAAATGTTTTCCAATTTGCGGGGCTGACAGTGCAGACCCTGACAGCCGGACCCCCACAACACACTGATTAATATTCTGTCCAGCCCTCTCCTCGCCCTCCTCCTCCTAGCATTCCTTTTTCTCCTGGCTGTTTTAACACTAATGTCCAGGTTCAGACACAGAGAAGGCAGCTTAATGATTTCCCCTTTACACCCCCACAAGGAGGGGAACAGGGTGCAGTCACTGTGGCTAAATCAATGGATATTGAGCGGGCAGGCTGTTAGAAGGTGTGTCAGAAAATAATGGCAGGACTTTCTTTTTTAATCTGCCTGTCTCAGAAGTTTTGCTGCATGTGGAGATGTTCATTGGGCATACAATACAAACTAGAGAATGCAATTTCTGAAGAAATTGCTAGTGGGAATGCTTTATGCTGAAAAGCTGACGCTAAACTGCTATGCTGAAATGTAATGTGTAAGAAGAAAGTGAAGAATTTAGATTGAAATGATACATGAACACTGGGGGCTTGAATGTGTGATGAGTGAAGAAAAGAAAGTAAAAAGGCTTGGAAAAGCAGCAGAATATTTGAACTGCAAACTTTTGAACTAACTTGATGGTGAATGATCTGTCACCATGGCAACAGCATTTGATGACACCCCATAATACGCGTAGATGCGTTGATGGCTGCATCGTTACCAAACCTGTGAAGTTTGGGGCCGTTTGGAGCATTTTCACTGAAGTTATGAGAAAACCGTGTTTCATGGCGAGCCTTGTGTTACCATGGCAACGGCATTTGAAGAAATCTCAAAACTCTCACTTAGATGTCGTCACGGCTGGACTGTTAACACACATGTGAAGTTTGAGCACTTTTTGAACATTTTCATAGGAGTTAATGTATAGCGACATCGTCTTTTATGGCGAGGGATGCGTTTCCATGGAAACGGCATATGATGACTCCCCATAATTGACGTAGAGCTGTTGAGGGCAGGACCATTAACCATTATCTGAAGTCTGCTGCTCTGAGCATGTCAGTTGGAGTTATGACATCATCGTGTTCCATGACACAGGTGTTTATATTTGAGCTAACAAGGTGTCCAGAGATCAAAGGTTTCCATTGTTCTGAATGAGAGATAAACCTCTTACATGTGAACGTTTTGTTGAAGAACCGTAACAGATATCGGTGAAATTTCAAAGCGTGAAGCATGTCAAGGACCTTGAGTATCTGAAGTGTGCTTTTTGTGTACTTTCGGGTCAATAATGTGGCCTTTTTGGCAGATTAACTAAAGGTGTGCGGCTGCTGCTGTGAGGAAATATCAGCCTGAAATTACAATGGGCTTTAATGGAGACATGTTGAAAGTTTTCATGCCCTCAAGAGGCATTTTGTTTAATTATTTTTTGCTTAATTATTTGTCATTTTTCAAGCTATGAGATGTATCAGCATTCCCACTAATGCTGATCGGCTTAGCTCAGAACCCACCCTATTATGTTTGGATGTGCATGTATACTCCTTGGTACAGAGAAAGGGTTTGGGAATTATGGCAGTTTAAAAAAAATATATGAAGGCAAATTTCAAGATTTCCTACCCTCTAGCTGTGATATCACACACTCTAGTTAATGTTAAAATCTGAAGAAGGCCTCTGTACCAAGGTCTGAACAATGTTTAATATCTCTAAAAGTAAGAATCAGATTTAAAAGTTGTGTTACACGAATAATGTCAGAAAGATGTGTAACATTTTAAAGTTGGAATGAGGTCTCTGAGTGAAAGTATGAAGGAACAGTTAGCAGTTGAAGTCGCATGAAGATTGTTCAAGTCTGAAGATTTTCTCCATTGACTTCAATGGTTAAAAATGTGATGAATTATGGGATATAACTCGGGAATTATGAAAGTTATGAATGAGAAAAGTAATAGCAATCGATTCCCGACCGAGCTGAACGTTTTGATGTTTGAACGGAGTTTCTGCGATGTGGAATGTGGGAGTAGAAGACCGGCAAAATAACGGGCGGAATAAAGATTTTGAAGAACAGATAGTTGGAATGCTGTATCAGAATTCCCACTAAATAAACAATTAAAGCTGCACGCAGCGTTGAACAGGCCTGTTGCAATCAACAAAATGCATATTTTTCAGAAAAAAAGACTTCCTAATCGTGTGACCAGTGAGTGGTCACAAATCAAATATGAGATATTTTTTAGACAGATTCTTTCAGACAGACTAACATCAATGTCCATGAAGTCACAAAGCGAGCATGACCTCCATTCATGTGTGTTTTTGTTTCAAATTCATCCTTCTCTTCATCCTCTTAAATAGGCCGAAACAAAAGAGAAATCATGACAATCAGCAGATGTGAGTTGATGATAGTGTCTCTCGAGGAGACCAGTGTGACGGGTTTGATCCCCACAGGGCCCTTTATAATGCAGTCAGGCCCACCTATGCAACAGCTAGGAGCCTCATTCAACAGGTGTGATATGGGAAGAGGAAAGGGATAACAAGGCGCTGAGGCACTGTTGGTTCCCCTCTTAGCACTGACACCCAGGAGGCAGAGGCTGAGGAAAGCAGATGGTGTGTGTTTCCAGCCCCAGAAGTTATTCCAATCAACAGAAGCATCTCTGGGGGATAAGCCAGCTGAATCTGATCTGCCGTCATATCTGAGCCTGCTGCACGTGCTGATTGGCTGCTAAGTCTACTGTGTAAAGCTGCAGATTGGAAGTGTGTCTGTGTGTGTGTTTGCAGATTCAAACTGAGCCAAAAGAATCACAGCTACTCTAGAACTACAATTAATGAAGATGTGTTCATAAGTTTGGGAAAATGCTCTACTCTTTTGACTTTTAATAGCAATGTTGTTTTCATATTGCTTTACAATCAATCTATCAATTTATCAAAATACTTTTGTGTTTTGTAACACCATATAAGAATTATTTAAATAAATACATATTTATATGAATATCAGTTGAAAGTCCTTTTATCCACAGGCTCATGATGAAGACTCAGGCTCATGATGAAGACATGATGAAGACTCAGACTCATAGTGAAGACTCAGGCTCATGATGAAGACTCAGGCTCATGATGAAGACATGATGAAGACTCAGGCTCATGATGAAGACATGATGATGACTCAGGCTCATGATGAAGACATGATGAAGACTCAGGCTCATGGTGAAGACATGATGAAGCTCTCAATAGGCGTGTTCACACCAAGTACTTTTCCCACAATAGTTCATGAGAACTTTAGTTCATGAGAGCTCTTTTAGATCTGATGAACTAAAGCAGATCGCGTTCACACCAAAATGAGTTCCTGGGGGTGGATTAGGCAAATGAACCGCTGACGTCACTTCTTCTTCTTCTGCTTTGGGTGGCGGTATGCACCTTAAAGTTGCAATCCGCCAAAAAACCGAGAGAAAAAGAAGAAGAAAAACCTCCCGCGTCCACTTGCTGTAAATGAGGCGTCTGTTTACCTTCCGACCTCAGACATGAGCTTCGTCTGAGTTATTTAAGCAAACACAAATACAGATCGTCGACCAGTCAAATGCAATAGCAATGCTGATTCGGAAGCGAAGGCGGTTAAGAAGGATTGACAAAAGGATTGGACGACGACATGCACGCGCTACGCTACGTGTGAAATGAATAAACTGTGCCAGGTGTGTCGTATGCACACTAAATAGGCTCAGCAGCTAACACACCTTTATTATATATCCTCTTGAGAACAACTGCATCCGTCTGCCATGAACCCTACAGAAACCTACGTGTTAGTTGTGGCCCATAGTGGCCTCCATTTGTGTCGTGTAAAATGGGGGAAATCAAAAGTTAGCAAATCCCCATGTTCATAAAAACATTTAGTTTTAGGTCAAATAATTATTACACTGCTCTGAAACTCACTACACTAACTCCTAAGATGTTCCCTTACTATAATTAATTAAAAATATTGAACTCACAACACTGGTAATAACAAACATAACCATTTCTCTTTCTATAAATAAATAGTGCTTGTGTTGGACGCCATTTTGAAATACAATGAAATTATCTTTTTGAAAGCCACAATAAATAAAGCTTCGCCAGTTTATAACTGATGAAACATGATGGTATCAGAATAATCACTTACATGTGATGTATAGGATGCTACACAGGTCACTGTAAAGATAAAGTGTCAGGAGAAATAAGCAAGCTTAGTTACATGAAATGTAATGAAAAATGTAAGATACAGGCTCCGTTTAATCGCCATGTAGGTTCTCTTTTATTGCACACTCAAGACAATATCAATAACAGCATCACGCTGTCCCAGGTGTGTCGTATGCATGTAAATAGAAGTTAACATTTTCAATATCAAATAAAGTGTCAGTAGTATCAAAACATATATATATATATATTAGGGCTGTCAGTCGATTAAAATATTTAATCGCGATTAATCGCATGATTGTCCATAGTTAATCGCGATTAATCGCATGATTGTCCATAGTTAATCGCGATTAATCGCAAAATAATCGCACATTTTTTATCTGTTCTAAATGTACCTTAGAGGGATATTTTTCAAGTTTTTAATACTCTTATTAACATATGAGTGGATAAATATGCTTTATATGTTTGTTTATTATCATTTGAACAATGACAAATATTCTCATGAATATTAAACACAACAAC